CGTCACTGAGCATCACTGTGGGCCTCAGTTCCAACACTTGCGGACTGTCTGAACGCCCCCTCTGGTCAGGGTGTTTTCATTTGAGGTTTTAAAGGTGCATTTAAAAAAAAACAACCCTGAACTTCACTTCCACAGTAATACAAACCCTCACTTATATTTTTTTACTGGTCACATTTTTATCTTTATTTTTTAGGAACTGGAACACTGAGATAATTGGAAATTGACCACTTTCTTCTTTTATTCAGTTTTCTTAAATCATTTAATAACTCAACTGACTAACTGCTGTAGTTTTTTAAGTTAATTTTTCTCCCATTCTTTTTTGGTTTATGAAGTGCTGAACTACTTGACACTCAGTCGTCTCCATCGCCTGCTTCTCCCCCTTCTGTGGTCTGGGTAAAGACGGTGTCCTTCATTAAGGCCTAAGAGTTTGAAGGTCGTACATATTCAGCCTGGGATTTCACACTTACATACACAGATTTCTCCTGAATCTATACATTTTAATATAATAATATAATATAATATAATATGATATGTTTCCCCACCCAGCAGCAGATCAGCCTGGAGATAGTTGATCTTAGGAATTGTTTTTCTTCTCTTTGTTTTTTGGTTACATGAACAATGGATTCATACAAACAAATTCTAATTACATCTTTAAAATTTAATTATTAATTATTCTTCATAGTAAATTTTTTTTTTAATTTTATATATTTTGTAAACATTTTATAAATGTTCAGACCCATCCAGTGGGAAGCAGCTCTGCAGGTGTACACACCTGGTTGAAGTAAAAGGTCGTAGGTCAGCCTGGCTGTAGCTGATGAGACGGTTATAGTAGCTCTTATATTTGGACTCTCATCTCTGCAGCTGTGGTGAGCAGAGGAGCGTCTCGGAAATCAAACAGCAGAAAATCACATCAGGTTTCACTCCTGTCAGCCCAGAGGAGAAATCTGAGGCTGCTGCGGTGAACATAGACGCTGAACAGTTGATGTTTGGAAAATGGTCTGATGAGTCCAGATTTCTGCTAATGCTTCAGAGGCTAGAGTCTGGTGGAGTCTGGCGTGAACAGCATGGATCCATGGATCCAACCTGAATTGTGTCAACATTCCCAGCTGGTGGTGGTGATGGCATCAGGAAGGAGTTTCTGGCAGACTTTGAACTTCCTTGTACCAATAAATCATGGTTTGGATGCTACAGCTAATCTGAGTGATGTCACTGATCATTTGTGTCGTCTGACATCCATCTGTAAGACGCTGTAAGAGATCCATAGACTGTGTGTAAGAACTGGACCTCATTTAGTGGGTTTTCAGTGTTGAACTGATCTTCATGACAAAGACTGAAGAGGACGCTGGAAACGTTCCACAGAGATGTTGATTCACGATAGCATCACACAGCTGCTGCACATTTCTTGGCTGCACATCCAGAGTGTGAGTCTTCTGTTCAGCCACGTCCCAAAGGATCTCCGTTGGACGGATGTCTCCGTTGCACTGTAGCACCGACCAGGTGTCTACACACAGAAAACTGCATCACACTGGATTTTTTTATTTTCAATTTTGGACAAACCTCTTTGTTCCAAAGTTCCAAATTCCTTAAAGGCAGAATTCTCACCAATAATTATCTAAATTGGAAAAATTGGATTTAAGAATTATTTCTTAGTAGTAAAATGAGTGAGTGAGTGGCCATGTATTAAAAGGCTAAGCTAAGCTAACCTTCCTTTTTTTTTTCTTCCTTAAATTTTCCATAATGTTGGGTTTAAGTGAGTTTCATCACTACTGACATCGGTCAGTTTTTCACTTTCATACTTTCAGACGGCAGTGCTATTGCAGATGAACACACCTATTGATACGTTTAATAACTCCTACCCTCACATCTAGCACACCTACATGCTTTCATCTACTGAGCCGCTGTCTTGTGATTGGCTGCTTTGGTAAATCCATATGCCATCACACAACCCACAAATATCCTCACTCAACGCTTACATTACGTGAGTAGCATCATTCAAAAGAAGGCGGTTTAGTCATGATCTGCACTTCACAGGGGTTGTCCCCCTTCCCCCTCCGCCCACGCTTCACCTACTCCCCCTGTGACGCGATAAGGGGGCTATGCTGCAGCCAGATAGAGCTACTATCTGAGCGCTTTACCCTTCAACCCGCCATTCCACGCATACATCACACCCAGACACACTGCAGCCAACACACACAAAATGGAGACTACGAGGGCCACAACAGCCTGTGAGGGGCAGTTAGAGAGCCAGGGTAGGTTAGGGTAGTTGTTAGTGCACCAGCTATAACTTTTTCAAAATAGTTTAAAGTTTAAATCTGGCACAATTGACTTTTTAGCTGGATGACTAAAACAAAACTATAAATGTAAAGAAAACTGATGATGATGTTTGTCCAAAGCTAACGTTGTTGTCACTATTATTTTTGCTATAATTTTTTTGTTATGATTTTTATACAAACATGTCATGTCTTTTCCCTCTAACAAGTTGAAAACCCAGGGGTTTGAAATACTAACAAAAAAATCAACCAACAAGAAACAAACAAACAAAAAAAAAAACACCTAAATACTGTTAGGAAATGTCTTTAACGTTTAACCAAAAGAGCTTTAAAAAAGTAAAAAAAAACAAAGTTAAAGGGGTGAACCATAGATAAACAAAATGAGTGAAATTTATTCAAGAGATACTTCAAAACTTAGCAATACTATTTATTGGTATTCACAAAGGTAGCTATGAAATGTCAAACTGATCAACGTTAGCACAGCAATAGCTAAACATAAAAGTCAATGATGTTACAAAGATTTATATTCATGTGGAATAGCTAAATATTAGCCGTTGAACAACTCAGTTTGATAAACTTAACTGAAAGTCGTCCACAGCTCTGACATTCATTTAACGTCTAATTTCTTCATGTTTTCATCTCTGTTTCAGACCATCTCAGTTACTCCGGCTCCATCCTGTCATTTCCTGCCTCACCTTGACCACCTGAGGACGCCCTTGGCCATCCCGCCGCCTGCCCCACCGCGATGGCCACCGCCATGACTTCCACCACGGACTTTGACAATGTGGAGATCACGCAGCAGTACAGCCACATCAACACGCGCTTCGAGCTCCCTGATGAGGAACTAGACAATGACAACAGCTCTGCTCGGCTGTTTGAGCGCTCACGCATCAAGGCGCTGGCAGGTGAGTTCCTGCATAGCGATCAGCCCGTGTCCTGTCTGTCTGTACGGCTGATTTTTGAAGTGACAGCAAGGGCATGAGTGAGCTGTGGGGCTCTGTTTTACTTTGTCAGGGTTCAGTGGCTTTGCATAAACCACTGACCTTGACTCAAATGTAGTCAGAAAGAAGCATAAAGTCACACCTCAGGCAGTACTTTCAATTTCAAAACTCCCAGCCAGAGCCCTGCAGGTGTTGCTGTGCGTCTTTGTGCGTGCATGCGTCTCGTGGTGTAACAAATTCCCAGCAGCTGAGCCTTGACACTGCTACACACCCACTGCAGAGAAAATAAAACCGGGATCACTTCACACATGCACATTCTCCGGATGTCCCAAACGTCGGAGGGTGGTGGACAGCTGCCTGTCCCAACACACACATCTCTGGCATCTGAGCTGGAAGACTGTGACCCACCTGTGGGCTCGGCCGCTGCCTACAGGGTTTAAAAATAGCTGCGTTTCTGTGGAGGAAGGAGGCGTAACTCGCAGTGGGTCACGTTTTCATGTCTGTTTAGCATCAGAGACAACAGGGGTCACAGCTACCAGTGATGTCCACTCTCTGGACATGGACCCTGTGTGTAGACACGGGTCTCATGTTGGACATGTACTGCCATGTACAGTAGAACTGAACCATTTATCACACTGCTGGAGGAAAATGTTGGGTTTACATAAAATTTTAAAAGGAAAAAAAAGTAACAAGACTATAAAGTCTCAAATAATTATATTTTTGTAGATGAGAAAAAGCAAAACATTTAGAAAAAAGAAAACGGTAGCTCTCAAAGTTATGCACGACATTGATTCCCAACCAATTTGCTGCGACACATTAGTGATCATCAGGTGTACTGTGGAAAATTATACTGTTGAACTTAGTTGACTAAAACAGTATGATCTATTTACTGTGATAATAAAGCTAAATAATGTAAACATCATAGATACCCCAGACATATTTAGCTGTATTATTAACTTGGTGAGTACAAAGTAAGAAGAAATGTACAAATAACAATGAAGAAATTGATTTGTAAAAACTGTCAAAATGGAAGTTGAAGAAACGAGAAAAAAATGAATTGATCATTTTGTCTCACAGCTCACTTTAGTAAATGTATTTACGTCTGTGCATTTATGTCATTACACACAAACACACACACACACCATAATAACTCCACTCCCCCTGACTTTACTGTTTCAACTCCTCCAGTTGTGATGATGATGATTTTGTTTTGCTCCTGTGAACGTTTCTCTCTTCAAGTCACACACCCACTGTGAATGTTTCTCTCTTCAAGTCACACACCCACTCTCCTTTGTTGTTATTTTTAAATTCCTCCGTGAAGCGACTGTCTGCAGAAATCAAAGTATTCACTTCCACTCAAAGTCTGTCCTCGCTGACAAACTTGGAGGTGGTGAATTATGTCTAATAGGAATCCACTGACTCTCAGTAGAGCAACGTCTGATCCCTTCAGCTTTCAGATCCCAGATCTGCTGACACACTGCAGTCAGGACCTGAAACAGTTCTGCTGCAGAGGTACGAGCATCGGTACCACAGGACATCTGTTCTGTTCTGAGGCCAAAGTGTTTACATCATGTCCAGGGTGTTTGTCAGGCAGTTGCTCCTTTTACTTCTTTTCTTGTCTGTCTCTTTAAAAGTGATGAAGAGGTGTGTGTGTGGGTGTGGGTGCGGGTGTGTGTGTGTGGGTGCGTGCTGTTGAGCACTGATGCACTGATGTTCTGTAATGCAATCAGTGTTTCCTGTTAGAGAAAAAAGAGGTCTGAAGTGAGGAAAGTGAGTTGAGAGCTGAGACCTGATGCTGATTTCTTCAGACTGTGAAGAAATGCTACATATCCACCTTAAGAAGCCTGTGATTTGGGATCTCATGACTGTGTGGGAGCAGTGTGCAGAGGGAGGATGTTGTAGGAGCAGGTGGATGAATTAAAAACACAGCGTACGCATGAGCAGAGCCGGATGAACTGCTCAGAACTGATCCAAAAGGCTCAGTTCAGCACTTGTGCTGCCTCAGAATGGAGCCTCAGCATCCATTACAGTGTCAGAGAGGAGTAAGAGTAAGCGAGGGAGGGAGGTAAGGAGGAGGAGTGCGCATGAGAGGCATCCGGGAAGGAGGGCAGAGAACTACAGACTCAGGAGAGGAGAGACGTGGAGAAAGGAGGTTCTGTGCCAGCTTTAAGCAGCACTTTGTTGGTGTAGTTTTTACGCTCTTTGCTCAAAATGAGCAGCCCATGTTTGCTGCGTGCTGCCCCAATAAGTCAACCCAGACTTCGGGAAGTCAAGATCAGTCTGAAGGCCAGCAGCAGAGAGACCACCAGCTCCACTACCTCCAAGAGCAGCAGTGGAGGAAACAGGGAGTCTACCAGCCGGACCTTTGCTCCAGCAGAGAAGGAGCCTCCGGCGCGGGTCAGTTTGAGCAGCATTAGTCGAAGTAGAAGTACGCCACCTGTGAACCGGAGCAGAGCTGAGAACAAAAGGTCAGCAAGAGGAAGTGGTTCCAAAGAACCAGACGTGGAGCATCACCTGGAGAAGAACGGCTCACTTTTACTAAAGGTTCCGCTCCCCGTGACACCGGTGGGTCTGTCCAACATCTCCTCCTCGTCCGTCTCTTCTACGTCCTCCTCTGGCACCTCCAGACGTCAGAGGCCCTCTCACCTTCACCCCCATCCACCTGTTGGCCCCATTCTCTCCTCAACCTCCACTTCTTACTCCTCTCCCTCCTCCTCCTCCTCGGCCAGGAGTATCAGAAGAACACGCTGGTTGAGTTATAGCACGTCCAACATCTACTTCAACTCTCTACTGGAGGGACGGTTCAGGCAACTGCAAGGTACAGAGGTCCTGATGCATGTGTGTGTGTGTGTGTGAGTTAGTGAGAGAGAGAGAGAAAGGTTGTCATTTATATTAATTAAAATGATTAAATAATATAAATGACTACCGTGACAAATTTAAAAACCAAAATGATCCAAATTGAGGACAGTTTAAATAATGACAAAGACTGACAGTAACAATTTCAATGACTAAAAACCAACAAAGCTCAGCAAAATATCACTAAAGAACAACAACAAAGGACACAACACAGAACAAAAATGATAAACAACCAATAAACGGACACAACACTGAACAAAAATGATAAACAACCAATAAACGACAGGAACTGACAAAAAAAATTAAAGGATACTAACAAATTACGAAAAAAGACTAAGACTAAATGACTAGAGAAACACCCAAAAATTGAATTCAGCAGTGACCATATTTATAGCTGACCTTAACCTCCAGGGGGCAGATTTGTCAGGACAACCCAAAGTGATTGTTCTTCTGTGGCCTAAATATTTATAAATATTCTGGAAACCTTAATAAGATTTTCGATGGTGTCCCTGCTACCAGGACAGTTTGGGTCCTGAACTCTTTCAGAGCTGTGTCCTAGAATGGTCCACAGTCAGCAGGTTGGTTACCTTAGAGTTGCTAATTATGCTAACAGCTACTCTACTTCTGTCCATTACTCAAACCTTGCTGAACAAGGTGTGATCCACTCTTCAGTTTCCTGAATGGTTGTGTGATCGCGGCCCGTTAAGAGAACAGTTCTGCCACCGCTGTGGATTTTTGTTAGCTTGCACTTTAACTTCCGGATGACAGCAGTGCATTAGTGAAGGGGGAGGAAAATGGAGGAGAGACTGCAGGAACAAAGAAGGAAAATGTTTTTTGTTGTTGTTTTTTTTCTCTGGGCCCTGCTGGATTTCAGGTATCGACTGATCCTGCAGACTGCAGACACAACTGATATGTGGAGTAGTAAAAGTTCTTGAAGAGATCCCAAATGAGAGAGGAGCTTTGGGGCCAAGTGTATTGATCCAGCAGCAGCAATTCACAGGGTTTTTCTATTTACCTGTAGGTCAACTACTATCAAGGCGACTTAACGAAGTTGGACAGAAGTACAATAGCTGTGAACACGCTACAGTAACAGATAAGAACCGAAGAGGAAACTGTGGGTGTGTCGTTATTGATTTTACATATCCACTTATTTTCACAGTTTGTCTTGGAAATTGGAAAAGGGATTGCATGGACTTGGTACACTGCCCATTTCAATGAGTTTTTGGCACGGTAAACCTTTCTAGATATCATGCCCACGTGGGCTGCTGTTGGTTTGCTTCTAGCATAGAACAAATTGATATGAACCTTTGGCCCAGACATTTACAAATGAAGACCATTTGACTGTCAGTGTCCTATATTTGGGCCAAATGATAGACATGATATTGGTCAGTTATGGACCAGTTAGGACAAAGTGGAGTGGACCACCAAAATTGCTCCTCATGAACGGGGTAAGTTAAACTGGGCCACATAATTTCCTTTCTAATCCTTGCCAACTGCTGAATTATTGCAAATTTACATAATTTAAAGGGATAGTCCAAGTTTTTAAGGAGATGTATAATGACCCCTCCATGTGTGACTTTTAGGCCAGAAACCAAATCTAGACGTTCTGAGGAGATTAGAGTGACTTCATCTGTAGAACAACAGTAGATTATTTTTCTGAGGATAGAAATTGTTGATTTTCTTTTATTTAAAAAAATACTGTACTTGTCTTTCAATTAGCTAAATTATTGTGTTATTATGTCAAAAAAAATCCTCACATATATTAAACTCTATTTTGCCTCTTTATAAAGCAGACAAGCTCAGTGTCTGATGTTCAACATTATGTATATAGAAATTGCAAATTGGTGAATGAGAAAAACATTAGTAGTAAGATAAGAAAGTTGCCTCATTACTGTGATGATGTTACACAGTGTAGCAGCAGTGCCTCTTACAAACACTCCTGAAAAGTTGAACTGTTCCTTTAAGCACATTGTATATCATCAGCTAAAAAACTTTCTTTGTGAAAGTTTTAACAAACCCAACAGGGTTTATGTTTGATCCTCTGACAGATAAACCAATGGATAAAGACCAGCCCTGGCGTCTGGGGCATGTGTACCTCCAACAGTTACCACTATGACTCAGACATGATGTAACTGGGTTCTCTAAGTCCACTGGGCCAAATCCAGTAAGAGCTGACTGTGGGAAAAGACGAACGCAGCGGCTGTAAACAGGGAAAATCCATCAGCATGAATAAGTCATGGGGCTTTCATTGCAGTCAACGAGTGGGTACAGAGAGATTACTAAGTAAAAGCATGTGAAACACAGAATCTTTAGTAAGGTTTGTACTGATACAGAGGAGAAGAAGAACAGAAGTGATGGGAGGCTGCCTTTGTCCTGTTTATGTACAGAAACATTAGATGGAAGTGGAACCACCAGGCAGTCAACATGCAGTGACGCTGTGGTCAACCAGCAGTCGGAGCTAGTCTGTACGCAGTAACTGGAAGTACGCATAATTACTGCATTATAGACATGAAGAAATCAGAAAGGGTTTTATTGGAAGATTTGTGGAAACGAATTGTCGTTTTTTAACATTTCTGTACAAAGACTGAAAGACTTGGACACAAACTCTAGTTGAGTCCAGTCTCGTTAGATCCATTAAGGTTAATGACTTTGAGAGACCGCTACAGCAGACGATAAGTCATTTGTTACTTAAGAGAGTCTTAAAAGCATTACTCATAAAAACTAACAGATCTGAAAGCTGTTAGCCAAGAACTTTGGGCCTCAAATTGCTTAGAGCTAGCAAAAATGCTAGCAAGTTTCACTAAATTTTAGCCAGAAAAGGACCACGAGATTGAACAAAAGGACTTCCTTAATGTGAAAACATGATAATAAAGAATCAAACAAAATATTAATAAATATTATTTGAAATTTATTGATCCAGCAGGAGCCAAGATAAATATGAAACATGAAATTTATTGATCCAGCAGGAGCCAAGTATGTGGTTGCTCTGGAAATCAACCCCAGGACTACCTGCTCTCTGCTTCTGAGGCAAGCAAGCTAACTGCTACAATATGGTACCATAAATAATAATAATATATATATTTTTAAATCTGATCAGACAAATAATGTAAGAGGTAAAATAGTTACAAATTAATTCCAAATAGATAATAACCTAAAAAAAGTTATTTTAGAATAACAGAAATCTTGGCTAAAACTTAGGCTAAACAGCTAACTTAAGCCCAGGGACAAGTTGGCATTATGATAACATTTGTATAAAGTTAGCTAACAGTAGCTAAGACACAATATAATCGTAAAAGAAATAGCCAAAAGATAATCTTATAATAGGCAGGACGTAGCATAAACTGAACAAAATATTTAATAAACATTGCATTATATGTATATATGTATGTATATGTATGTATATATATATATTTATGTATATATACATGTGTATATATACGTATAAAACATTGGGGTAAAATAGCCAGTATTTTCTTGAATCTTCTCGTACAGTTGACTGAGTTTTTGTGTTTAAATACTGCTGAGATGCTGTAACTCTCGCTCAGCAGTTAGTGAACACTGAGAGGCCGTCGTCATAATGAGCTTGTTGATCTCCTCTGGAGGAGGATCAGTGGAGTGAACACAGACTACAACATCTCTCTCCCATATGTTTACTCCTCTCCAACTCCTCCTCTGCCTCTCATTTAGGAGCATCAGTATGTGCTGTGTCTGCTCTCACAGTCTGGTTGTCTGAGATGAGAGGAGTCAGCATGGTGAAAATCCTGTGGGGGGCAGCACCCCAGATACTTCAGAAGAGATTTATTGAAAAGTTTTGTCTGTTTTTTTTCTGTATTTTGTTTGTTGCTGGCTGATCCTCTCTGACAACTCTCTCTCCTCTGAGTTCTGCACACTTTAATTGACATTACTTTTTCATGACCTTTGTTCATCATGTTGAACCAGACGAACACTTTCAGCTGACAGCAGCTGAACTAAGCATTATTTGTTTACTGTGCCATGTGTTTTACATACGACGAGGCATAATCCCTGCACTCTGATGATGCTGGTGCTTTTAGGTGCTTACTGGGTCATTTTTAGCAGCAGGGGAGATGCTGTGGATAATGCATCTGGCTCCTCTTCTTTTTTCCGGTTTGGGTCTCTGTAGACCAAACCTGAAAGCCTCTCACTTTGTCTGCTACGTCTCAACTATCATCACATGACCCCTAGTTTTCATCCTCTTCTCTTCATTTCTTTTTGCTTTATTGTCTCCTTCTAAACCTCTGATCCAGTATCTGTACCTTCTTTGCTCCAGCACCAGCTTTTTCTACTTCTACTTTTCTACGAGTTGTTTATCACAGAAATTGTCGACAAATATATGGCAAAAGAAACAAATTAAAAACAATTTCAAAGATCACTAAAAGTCAGAATTCAATCAGAATGACTTAAAGCATAAATAATGTTTGAGAAAATCTATTTGTGAATTTCTTACTCAAACCATAAGCAGCTGTGTTGGCTAAGCAGTAATAAAGTTCATTAAATTCATTTACTGTAGGCGTCAAATACCAACTGCAGTTTTTTCTTTAGATAATACATGATATGTAATGATAAATGTAATGTAAATAAATGTAAATGTAATCTAAAACCTGCAGGTGTGTTTCCATGGTCTTCACATCCATTTCAGAAATGTGATGTCGCTGAGGACACAGTGGGTCTTGAGACCATATGGTTCCATCAGACTTGGTTTTATTTCTGCTGCTGAGTGGGAGGTAAAACAGTGTGGTTCAGATCCAGAGTCTGACAGGAAGTGTGAGACTGTGTCTGTCGTTACCCTCTCTAAACTCCTGGAGCCCTTTTGTTTTTGTTTACTTTTCCTTTACATATCACAGAAGCACCTGTGCTACGCTAACATTCCTTTAAGATATAGTAGAACACAAACTAAAGGTGAGGTCATTCAGAGATATATATCTTTTGTTACTCCTTAAACAATGTCTGTAGTATAGTGTATTATCGCCTAACTCCTTGTAGGTTTATGTCTTTAATAAAAATGCTAATTAGTTTTTATATAATCTGACTCAACATAAGTCCGTGTCTTGCAATCAATTATATCTTCTATCTTCTAGCTATTTTTTCCAGGCTAAATAATTGTGTTAACAATTGCAGTTGTACTCGTCTTAATTACTGTGTAAGTAGGTTCTCAGTCAGCACAGACCTAAAGAAGGCTCTAGGATGAGAGGTCTTCAAGGTACTCAGACAGTCCAGTTAGATGAGAGGTGAAACGTCTTCAAGGTACTCAGACAGTCCAGTTGCCTTCGATGGTTCCTTTTAATTACATTACTGAAAGGCTGATCTTTTATAACATTAAAAAAAATCACCTCAAACTTCATTATAAAGTTCTTCAGATCCCTAGATTAATATCTCTGAATCATTGTGGTAAGAATCAGCAATGAGAAAATGGAAATCTGAACTCCAGGCACAGACATGACTCCATTCTGCAGCAGATTTTCACAGACACTAATACTCCAACAATGTCCACTCTGACAGGGTTACACCTGTCTGCAGCAAAAGCTTTGACAAGAAGATCAAATCCCTACCAGCGCCAGCGCTGCTGCTGCTCTGTGGCCCAGAAGATTCATTATTCATGAAACTTATGTTCTGTCCTAACTTTCTGCTCCTGTCAGATGAGCGTGAGGCGGTTCAGAAGAAGACCTTCACTAAATGGGTCAACTCCATCTTGTCCCGTGTTGGATGTCGCATCTCCGACCTCTACCTGGACCTGCGGGACGGACGCATGCTCATTAAACTGCTGGAGGTGTTGTCAGGAGAACGGCTGGTAAAGACTCTAACGCCACAGTGAAATTTGACTCTTCTTCTCCTCTGAGAACTTCTAATCCTAAAAAAAAAATATATATAAAAAAATCCAAATCTTCTCTCTTCTCTTCACAGCCTAAACCGACCAAAGGCAGGATGCGTATCCACTGCTTGGAGAATGTGGACAAGGCTCTGCAGTTCCTCAAAGAACAGAGGGTTCACCTGGAGAACATGGGGTCACATGACATCGTGGACGGTAACCATCGTCTCATCCTGGGTCTCATCTGGACCATCATCCTGCGCTTCCAGGTGAAAAGAATCAGGGTTACATCAGAGCATGGGTTCAGATACATATTTGAAAGAAGTTCAAATTACATACATGAAATTACATACTTGATGTGAAGGACTGTGTTTAGTGTAATTTTGTTTTTTGGCTCACTAGAAATTAAACACAAAATTCTGTCCCCTTAATAACATTTAGGATTGAGTAACAAAACATTTTTTTAAACAAAAAACATATTCATATTTCTTTTGTATAAACAACAGACCTTTTCTCTGTTCTCTTCTATTTCTCACATATATGACAGTTGGTTAGAAAATATTTCAGTGCTTTTAAATCTGTTTAGAAAAAAACAAAACAAAACACTCTTTTCTTTTGGTTTTCTGAAGTCTATGAATCCAATCCACACTGGATCTTATAATGTCCACTTGTATCCCCCACTGTTGTCACTGGATTCAGGTAAAATACCTGTTCAATAGGAGCCTTGATCCAGTGTCCACTCATATGAGCTGTCTCCAGACATTAATTGTCCAATTTTCCACCAATGGAAATATAATGGACCAAACTGACATTATATTCTATTGTCAGGAGGGTTCATGTGAACTAAGATAAATGACATGTAAAAGTCATGCATAAAGGCTAAAATGTTTTGTCATTTTCTACACCATCTATTGGGGAAACGTGGGTGTTGCAGGGAGAAGGCAGAAGTATAATGATAATATAAATAAATTATATAATTTGGAAAAGTTTGGCGGGCCGGATTAAAAAGCTGAATGGGCTGCATCCGGCCCCCGGGCCTTAGTTTGCCCATGCCTGCTCTAGCTCTTCCTCTAGGACCTCACTGATGGCTATGTCCATTTTTCATACAGAGTCTACGAGGACGTCAGCAGCAGCAGTACTGGGTTGTTTGTTGTTTGTGGCAGACATCATCGTCTGCAGTTTCACTCCCAGAAAAAACCACATCTCTGTATCTGCTGGACTCCTTTAATCTCCTAACACAGGGCAGATCTTTATTTTTAATTTGACAGGGACACTGTTATTTTTAGTCAAGTTCTAACACTATGGCCTGCTGCAATATTTAGTTTTTTTTTTTTTGCCTTTCTTTTCTTTTTTTTTTAAACACAAGTCGACTTAGTCTTGTCTGATTCTTTTCAGTGTGCATGAAAGAAGGCGGACCAAAGCAGACTAAATTTAGCCCCTCTCTCAGGACCCTTCTCTCTCAGATCACATCACTGCTCCAAATACTGGCCCAGTGTGTGGGAAAATGAGATCTGCAGTCACTACCAAGCCTCTTTCTATCAATTAGTACTTGGATTCAGATGTGTGAGATTATGATGTTAATAATTTACCACTTCAGATTAGTTTGGATTAAAAACATAACTCCTCGCTACAGGCTGTCAATGAATATTTTCCTCGTCATGTTGATGTCGCTCAGAGTTTCCAGGTTGTTCTATGTGTTTGCAGACATCATCATTACTTAAGTTTGATTATTTACCATCCAGCTGTGCCTGTTGTTCTTCATCATCAGATCCAGGACATCGTCGTGGAAACGGGCCAGGCTGACCAGAAGGAGACGCGCTCAGCCAAGGACGCTCTCCTCCTGTGGTGTCAGATGAAAACTGCAGGGTAAGTGGGATGAGTGACCTTTGGCATAAACCAAGCTGTTGTAAATATCCTCCAGGAAACAGCAGCGGTTTAATGTGGATCCAGACTCGTGCACAGCTGTACGGTTATTATTAGTATGAAGGAGCAGCAGCTTCAAATCTGCAATACTCCCAACACTTACAACACAGTTTAAGAGGTTTTTTTTATGTCCTACTATAGGTTGTATTATTTTTATGACTTCTCTCTTGAGTTTCCATTCTTTTATGGCAGAGTTTATGATGTAAGAATATTATATAATAGATAAATAAAAATAAAAGAATAAGATTTTATCGATTAAACTACTTTATAACTTTATATTCAGATATGATATTATGATATAGAACAGCATTAAAACTCCAAAAAATACTAAAGAGCTAACTTTATTTAGCATGAAATTTAAGTCTTCAATTAAATTATCAAGTCATTGTTTTTGGACAAATCCATAACAAATGCATAACACATCACGTGTATGTCATGTATTTAATGTCAGATAACAAGAGCAGAGTAGCTGGAATGTAACTTCTCTGATCTAACTAAAAGCTAAAAGAAAAGCCTAGAGCAGTGGTTCTCAAACGGTGCGCTCTCTAGTGGTACGAGGGGAAAATTCATATCTTTTGCATTTACATTTTTAATTGAGTAAATCTGAAACATACCATGCACAATTAATACAACATTTAAACATAAACATCTTTCTAAACATCTCTCCTGTGGTGGAAGCTAACAGTGAAGGCCTCTGCTGCTGTATTCTAATGTTGGTCAACATGGTGGTACTCAAAGAGATCAAGTTTTTCTCAGGTGGTAGAAAAAGTTTGAGAACCACTGTACTAGAGAAAACAAATATATTAGAAGTCACTTAAAAAAGGTTATTCAAAAACTAGCATAAAAACTTGCAAAAGCTAGCTAGAAGTTTGTAGTTGAAGTTTGCCACAATATTGCCAAAAATATAACATGTTAGCTAAAAATAGCCAAAACGGCCAAAAGTTTGCCCAGGAGTAGTAAAAAAAACAGCCAGAGGACAGTTTAAATAATTGAGTAAATTACCCTGGAAATTATCTAAGATGCCCTGAAAACTTAGTTCCCAGTTACGAAGACAGTGAATTTCCTGCCCTGATGGCAGGACATTAAACACTTCATCTCCTGGAGCCTCCAGCTACAGCAGGAAGTGGTGAATGATTACACTCGGAGACACTGAACATCCTCCAGACCCTGGTTTTAACCCAGATCCCCACAGAAATGTTCTGTCCGTGACACTGACTGGTTGTTGTATCGCAGATACCCCAACGTCAACATCACCAACTTCACCACCAGCTGGAAAGACGGCATGGCCTTCAACGCTCTCATACACAAACACAGGTGAGAAGACGGAGTTCCACCAACTTTCTCTTTCAAACGTAAACACACTTTTCTGTCATTCATTTTCTTCCTTTGTCTTCGATCAGACCGGACCTGTTGGAATATGGCACTCTGAAGAGGTCCAACCCCACCCACAACCTCCACAACGCCTTCAATGTAGCAGAACAAAAGCTTGGTGTGACCAAACTGTTGGACCCTGAAGGTAAGTGACTGATGGAGCTGAAAAACCTTCCGCGATGTTTCTGGCTTTAACCGGTAACTCTTCTCTTGCCTTGTTGTGCAGATGTGTTCACAGAGAACCCAGATGAGAAGTCCATCATCACCTACGTGGTGGCATTCTACCACTACTTCTCCAAGATGAAACAGCTGGCCGTCGGAAGGAGGGTGGGAAAGGTGAGGTCGAAGCAGTGACGTCAGCGATGAGTTCCAGTGTCTCTATTCCTGAATGTTTCTTCTGCCCCAGGTTCTGGATCAGGCCATCGAGACGGAGAAGATGATCGAAAAGTACGAGACGCTGGCCTCAGACCTGCTGACGTGGATAGAGCAGACCATCATTGTTCTGAATAACCGTAAACTGGCCAACTCTCTGACCGGAGTCCAGCAGCAGCTTCAAGCCTTCAACACCTACCGTACGGTGGAGAAGCCGCCAAAGTGAGTTGAGCGAAGACAGTGAGACGACAGAATCGGTTTTAATCTGAAAATCCTGGATTAAGTCAAGACAGAAAATAATGCTATTGTTACATTTTTCCTTTGTTGTATTATTCATGTAGCTGCATTTAAATAATTCTGACATCATGATGTGTTCATTTGGTGTCATTTTCCAAGTTTGTTAAAGATGAGAAATTGAATGAATACAAAATATATTTATAAAAAACAAAAATGATAGAAAATATTATATTGAATATAAGTATTTATATAATGATATAAAAATATTCAGAACAAAATCATCATTATTTAAAAAACAAAAACGTTTCTAATTTAATTAAAATCAATTTATGTGCTCATTATTAATATATATTATTATTATATAAATTATTTTAAATGTAAGCAGTTATAAATACTTAAAAATGAAGAATAAATAAACAGTATATAACAGTGAGAGTCATATATATTTATATATATTTATTATTGTTAATTTTGTTAATTTATTCAAAATGTTAAAAAAATTGTTAGAAAAATTATGTTGAAGTTTTGTTTTTTTAAACTGTAAAATAATAACACAGTTGTATATTTATTATTATAGAAATATTATACATTACACGAAAAATTACTGCTTACTAAAAATTGTCCAAAGGACATTTTGGGAAGTAATATTATAATAATTTCTTGACCCTTCTCCAATAATTACAATTAGCATCTTTTCAAGTTAATCACATCAGTCTTTACTG